TTTGAGACAGAGTCTCACTCTGTCCCCCAGGCTGGAGTGAAGTGGTACAGTCTTGGCTCACTGCAACTTCTGCCTCCTGAGGTTAAACCTCCAGGTTCAAGCAATTCTCCTGCCCCAGCCTCCTAAGTAGCTGGGATTACAGGCATGCACCACCACATCTGGCTAATTTTTATATTTTTATTAAAGACATGGTTTCAGCATGTTGGCCAAGCTGGTCTCAAACTCCTGACTTCAGGTGATTCCCCTGCCTCAGCCTCCCAAATTTCTGGGTTCACAGGCATGAGCCACTGTGCCTGGCCCCCGGCTTCCGTCTGACTCTGCAGCTGGAACAGAAGCTCCCGAGAGCAGGCAGTGCGTTTGTTTTGCTGACCATTTTCTCCCTGATTCTAGAACAAGGTCCAGTACATAGCTAGTCTCCATACGTGTTTGTTAATGAAGGAAGGAACCAGGAAGAAAGGAAAGAAAAAGTACAAAGGACGAAATAGAGAATTAAGTTAGGAGAGGTGGGAAGAGTTTACTTTCACCAGGTAGTGAAATGTAAGGTCTCTGCTAAGAGCCGAAAGTTGAGAAGGAGCCGTACAAAGCGCCAAGGAGAGCATTCCCGGCAGATAGGCAGCAGGTGCAAAGGACAGGGAGGAGAGAGTCTGATGCCTTGGAAGAAAGAAAAGGCCACTGTGGCTGGGTTGGAGCCAGCAATGGGGAGAGCAGGAGGGGGAGATGTCACATGACGGCTGTGGTGAAGAGACCTTATCCGAACTGTCTGCAACACACACGTGTCCTCTGACACTTGGTGCTGGATTTCTCTTAGGCGTTTTAAACTCATCACCCCCTGAGGCAGACACTGCGGGTGCCTCACCCTTATATCTGCATGGCCCACCTTGGAATCATGTACAGTTTCCAGACACCCTGACTTGCAACTCCTCCCGGGGTTTCTTGTCTGAGGCTGGTCTCAGGAGAAGGGAGCGTGCTCTGTGTTCCCAGCACCCTGAAGTGTGTGGGGGCGCTTCTGCAGCTTTTAGCAGTGACAGATACAAACTGGGAAATAAATACCCCAACCACGTGGCCCCTGAAGGATCACTGCTATGGGGTGTTCTCAGTGTCTCAGAGTGCCCTTTTTGAGATCAGGCTCCAACTGCTCTTGGTGGTAACCTGTTAAATGACACACCCTCATGCCAGGTGCCGTGGCTCACGTCTGTAATCCCAGCACTTTGGGAGGCCGAGGCAGTTTTGTTCAGGAGTTTTGAGACCAGCCTGGGCAGCATAGTGAAACCCCATCTTTATAAAAAATGCAAAAATCAGCCCAGTGTGCCTGTAAGTTCCAGCTATTTGGAAAACTGAGGTGGAAGGATCCCTTAGGCCCAGGAGGTCAAGGCTGCAGGGTGCTGTGATCACATTACTATACTCCAGCCTTGGCGACAGAATGGGACCCCGTCTTTTTTTTTTGAGACAGAGTTTCGCTCTTGTTACCCAGGCTGGAGTGCAATGGTGCGATCTCAGCTCACCACAACCTCCGCCTCCTGGGTTCAGGCAATTCTCCTGCCTCAGCCTCCTGAGTAGCTGGGAATACAGGCACGCGCCACCATGCCCAGCTGATTTTTTGTATTTTTAGTACAGACAGGGTTTCACCATGTTGACCAGGATGGTCTCGATCTCTTGACCTCATGATCCACCCGCCTCGGCCTCCCGAAGTGCTGAGATTGCAGGCGTGAGCCACCGTGCCCGGCCCGAGACCCCGTCTTAAATGAAAAAAACACATGCTTTATTGGCTTTTCTCCTTTTTTTTTTTTTTTTTTTTTTTGAGACAGTCTCACTCTGTCACCAGGCTGGAGTGCAGTGGCACAATCTCGGCTCACTGCAACCTCCACCTCCTGGGTCCAAGCAATTCTCCTGCCTCAGCCTCCTGAGAAGCTGGGACTACAGGCACGCACCATCTCGCTCAGCTAGTTTTTGTATTTTTAGTAGAGGCAAGGTTTCGCCATGTTGGCCAGGATGGTCTCTTATCTCTTGACCTCGTGATCTGCCCGCCTTGGCCTCCCGAAGTGCTGAGATTGCGGGTGTGAGCCACCGCGCCCGGCCTTCTTGTTTGTTTCTCTTCTTTACTCCTTCGACGTCCATACTGGAATCACCTCCTCTGGAAAGTCACTGTACACAAATTCTCATCTCAGGGTCTCCTTTTAGAGGAACCCAATCTAGGGTTTCTTCAACTACACTCCAACCCTGAAGTATTTTTCTCTGTTCCCCATCTCCGGATGACCATAGCTACCATAATCAGGCAGGACTTCCCTTTGACTGTCTCCTGACATCCAAGTCTGGTCAATTCTTCTAGAAAGGTAGACACACAGACAGATATTAACCAGCCTCTGCCTTCTTGAATCCAGTCCTGCGCTGAGCAATGAGACTCCAGGGATGAATCAGGTTAAGTCCTGCTCGTTTAAATTTTTATTTATTTTTTGAGTGATGAGGTCTCACTCTGCTGCCCAGGCTGGTTTCCAACTTCTGAGCTCAAGTGATCCCCCCGCCACAGCCTCCCAAAGTGCTAGGATTGCAGGCATGAGCCCCTACACCCAGCCAATCCTGCTCTTGAGGACTCTCTAGTTTGCTGAGGAGGCAGACCTGGACCCAGGCAAGGACCATGAAGTGTGCACAGAACTGCATCAAAAATGTCAGAGAAGGCTGGGCACGGTTGCTCATGCCTGTAATCCCAGCACTTTGGGAGACTGAGGCGGGCGGATCACAAGGTCAGGAGATCGAGACCATCCTGGCCAACATGGTGAAACCTCATCTCTACTAAAAATACAAAAATTAGCCGGGCACAGTGGCGGTAGTCCCAGTTACTTGGGAGGCTGAGGCAGGAGAATCGCTTGAACCTGGGAGGCGGAGATTGCAGTGAGCCGAGATTGCACCACTGCACTTCAGCCTGACAACAGAGTGAGACTCTGTCTCAAAAAAAAAAAAAAAAAAAAAAATGTCAGAGAAGTCTTTCTTGAAGAGGTGACAAAGGCTGGGTACTGAAAGCTGAGTAGGAGTTTGTCATTTGGGAGCCAGGGAAGCACTCTAAACAAAAGATACAGCTTGTGCAAGGATTCGATGGGGATGAAAATATCCAGGCAAAAAAAGCAAAAAGCAAAAATCTGGGCTGGGTAGGTTAAGGGAGTGGGAAGGGATTTCTGATTTCCTGTAGATTTGGTCTGGAGAAGCAGGGGAAGGCTGAGGAAGACTTGGGGCATGGCAGATGTTGGAAATCAGGCTGAAGGGCTTGTACTTCCTCCTGAGTATGATAGGGAGCTATGGAGGGTTCTTGAGGAGGGTGGAGTGACCCTGTCAGACTTGGGTTTGAAAATGATTCCTCTGGATTAGTTAAATCCAGGGGTGCTGGCTTACCCAAGAAGGAAGCGATGCATTTTTAGGGAGCAAAAGAGGTGATTTTGAGCCTGGGGCACCGGGGAGAGGGTGGAGGCTAAGGCCCGGGAAGGAGTGCTCTTGAATCTGGAAGGGCCCAGCTCCCCAGGACCAGCCTTCGGCCTTGATATGACCTGATTCAGCTAAACAAAGCTGGGGAGTGGGGATAAGACCTGGGGGACTTTTCGGCTCAGTGCCCCTGAGGTAACCATTAATCCTTCCCCTGGGGGAATCCAGGGGCTTGTCCCTGGATGGGGCAGATCCTGGGGAGAATGGAGGAGCACACACAGGCAGTCTCGGCACCAGAGCTGGGGGCCCAGAGGGCTCTGATCAACAATCCTGCTGACATCCTAGTCATCGCTGCGTATTTCCTGCTGGTCATCGGTGTTGGCTTGTGGGTGAGAAGTTGAGGGGGTGCTGCTGGCTTCTGGGGCCTGGGGGAAAAGTCTCAGGGGGACCCTACGTGGGGGAAGGATGCTTGGATCTTTGAAGGACAAACCCAGACCTGGGGACAAGCAGGTCTTTGGAGGGCCTCAGGGAGGCCCAGCCAACATTCCTTCCTTGTCTGCCCACCTTGGGACTGTGCTAGTGAAGGGGTCCATGGATTTTTGTCAGGGTCGATATTCTAAACAGGGTCTCATTCCCCTGGCCACTTATGGCTGACCAGCAGAAAATATTCAAGGCTCCCAGCAAGATCAGGCCAAATCCACACACAATAAATCCTGAGTAGCTGGGATGGGACTAGTGGCTCACACCTGTAATCCTAGCACTTTCGGAGGCCAAGGCAGGGGGATCACTGAGGCCAGGAGTTTGAGACAAGCCTGGCCAACATGGTGAAACCACATTTCTTTTTTATTTTAAAAAATGCATTGATTTTTAAGTGAGTAGGTGGTCTCACTGTGTTGCGCAGGCTGGTCTCGAACTCCTAGGCTCAAGCAATTCCTCCTGCCTCTGCCTCCCAAAGTGCTAGGATTACAGGTGTGAGCCACTGTCCCTGGATGAGACCCTGTTTCAAAGAAAGAAAGAAAGAGAGAGAAAGAAAGAGAAAGCAAGAAAAAGAAAGAAAGAAAAAGAAAGGAGGGAGAGAGGGAGGGAGGGAGGGAAGGAAGGGCGGAAAGAAAGAGAGATAAAGAAAGAGAAGTGAAAACTTAGCCAGCCATGGTGGCATGTGCTCCTGTAGTCACAGCTACTCAGAGGCCAAGGTGGGAAGACTGCTTGAGCCCAAGAGTTCAAGGCTGCAGTGAGCTATGATCACACCACTGCACTCCAGCCTGGGAGACAGAGTAAGATGTCTCTAAAAAGAAAAAAAAGATATGGGCTGGGTGTGATGGTTCATTCCTGTAATCCCAGTACTTTGGGAGGCCGAAGTGGGTGAATTGCTTGAGGCCAGGAGTTTGAGACCAGCCTGGCCAACATGGTAAAACCCTGTCTCTACTAAAATATATTAAAGAAAAAAAAATAGCTGGGTATGGTGGTGCATGCCTATAATCCCAGCTACTTGGGAGGCTAAGGCGTGAGAATTGCTTGAACCTGGGAGATGGAGGTTGCAATGAGCCGAAATCACACCCCTAACTCCAGCCTGAGCAACAGAACAAGGCTCTGTCTCAAAAAATGAAAATAAATAAAAAGAAAAAGAAAAAATATGTGAAAAGATTTGGGGAATGGGACACTGGGATTAGAACCTGGGTTGCCCGAGTGTCTGGAAGGAGTTGGGGGTGTACAAATGATCAGGGAAGCTTGGCAGGTTAATCTTCAGCCTGAAACAAGGCTGAGGAATGTGTTGAGGTGGCTAATGAGGTCCAAGGCTGCGCCCCAAACCCAGGTCTCCCCTGCCTCTGTCTCCTAGTCCATGTGCAGAATCAACAGAGGCACCGTGGGCGGCTACTTCCTGGCTGGACGCAGCATGGTGTGGTGGCCGGTGAGACTGGCTGGGCCGGGAATGGGAGGGGGCCTGGAGAAGCAGCCCCGCTCACCCTCTCCTCTGGCCACCCAGGTTGGGGCCTCTCTCTTCGCCAGCAACATCGGTAGCGGCCACTTTGTGGGCCTGGCAGGAACTGGTGCTGCAAGCGGCTTGGCTGTGGCTGGATTCGAGTGGAATGTGAGGCCCCTTTTTCCCAATAATCCCACTTCCATCGAGAACCCCTGGAAGGGTCACACCTTGGGGAAGCTCCAGGAAAGGAGAAATGAGACTGGCAGTGGGACTTCTGAACAGAGGGGTGTGGTTGGGCTGGGAGTGGAGGTCAGACATCCAGCCGGGAGGTAGAGGGGTGCAGGGGTGACCACTGTCGGGGCAGGGCTAGGTCCTGCTCCTGACCCATCTGAGCCAGCCTGCACCAGCCACTGCTTCTGGGAACCTCCATCTGCTCCTCTCTGAGTGGGGTGGGCAGCATCAAAGCCAGGGAAGCACCTGTTCGGATGTACTCTGAAGCTGTGGTCTGCGAGGAATTTGGGGCCAAGTTAAAGCCATTTGCAGAAGTGAGGAGCAGAGACAAAGCTCTGAGACTGTGGCTCCCCTTGGAGGGATCTGCTTTGAGCTCAGGGCTTCCTGGAGGAGGAGGCCTCTGAGCTGAGCCTTGGGGAGCACAATGTTTGGGTGGCTTTGGCTGGAGTCAGTCTGAGGGATCTATGCTGGGGTTCATATCTAGATGGGGAAACATAGGGACAACATTGGGAGAAACAGGCCAGGAGTGATGGCCTGGAGAGATAAGGAGAGCTCCAGTTAAGACCAGGAGAGTGTCAGCTCTGTTCCTTAGTGCCCAGGCCCTGGGGCCATCACCTCAGTTGTCTTTTGGGCTCCAGGTGTGGACCTTCCCAGGGCCACTTGCTTGGAGTAGCGCCTTCAGGAAGAGAAGGTCAGATCCTCGGGGGTGAGAGCAGAGCCACCCTCAGCGGCTGTGCTGCCCCCACAGGCACTCTTCGTGGTGCTGCTACTGGGCTGGCTCTTTGCACCTGTTTACCTGACGGCAGGGGTCATCACGATGCCGCAGTACCTGCGAAAGCGCTTCGGCGGCCATCGCATCCGCCTCTACCTGTCTGTGCTTTCTCTTTTCCTGTACATCTTCACCAAGATCTCGGTGAGCACACGTGGCTGACGGGATGGGGCCCTAGAAGGGTGGGGCCTCGAGTGGGGTCTCTAGAGAATCCTGGAGGTCGTGGGATCAAGGAGAAACTACTGCAAGGGTCATGATGATGGAGGCAGAGCCTGCAAGGAATGTCTCCAGGGCACCAGCCACAGTGCTGGGACCCGGAAAAACAGAGGGAAGCTTTGAGGCTAGTAGGGGGTGGCCTGGGCAGGAGGTGGCCCAGGACACTGCCCTGGGTCCTGACCTGCAACTTGCTCCTCCCCCAAGGTGGACATGTTCTCTGGAGCTGTATTCATCCAGCAGGCTCTGGGCTGGAACATCTACGCCTCTGTCATTGCACTTCTGGGCATCACCATGATTTACACGGTGACAGGTGCTAGCAGGGGCTTAGGGAAGGGACTGGGCCTGGGACACGGCTGCCGGCTGTGGCTAGGGTTTAGGGATTTGCCAGAGGAAAGCGGGCTGGAGAGGTTTGGAAGTGTGGCGTGGTCCAGGCAGAAGGAACTAAACCTTTGGAAAGCAAAGGCTTCCTCCCTCTCCACTGTCTCTTGGACTTTGACTGGAAGTTCAGAAAGATGAAGCCATGTTGGGCTTGAGTGAGGACTGGGAGAAAAGCAAGATTTAGCAGCTCTTGCCTGCCTTGAACACCTGGGAGAGCGCACCTGACCAGTCGCTAAGATCTCTGGCCAAACCTGGCGTGGTTCAGAGGGACCCCACCTGAGGTCAGATGCCGACCAGAGTAGGGGGGTCCTGATGCCAAGGCCAGCTTGAGGTGCCCCACCTTGGGAAGATATGGAACTGAGTATAGGACCTTAGAGAATCACTCTCTCCTATGATGAGGCAGAAAAAACTAGGGCCTAGAGAGGCCTGCTGGTGGGGGTTCTGCAAGTCGGTGCCTGGCCCTAAAACTCAGCCACTCTGCCTGCCAAGGCCTGCTTACTGGTCCCCGAGTGCACGAGCCCCGAGAATGGGCCATCATTTTGAAATTTATTCTCCAGAAAGGGGAACTCTCTAAAATTCCCACAAAGATACCTTCCTGCTAGGGCCAGTCTGTCTATAACATAAACAGCTGGGCTGTCCCCTGACCCTGGCCTGTTGCAGGAGGGCTGGCTGCGCTGATGTACACGGACACGGTGCAGACCTTCGTCATCCTAGGGGGCGCCTGCATCCTCATGGGTTACGGTAGGGGCTCGCCCACCGGGGAGGGGCGCGGAGGGCGCGGTGGCGGCGGCGGAGCTCTTAGCCTGCGCGCCTGGCAGTCGCGCGTCGCCGGCCTGAAGGTCCTAAGGAGGGTCCCCTGACGGCCTTGCCCGGCAGCCTTCCACGAGGTGGGCGGGTATTCGGGTCTCTTCGACAAATACCTGGGAGCAGCGACTTCGCTGACGGTGTCCGAGGATCCGGCCGTTGGAAACATCTCCAGCTCCTGCTATCGACCCCGGCCCGACTCCTACCACTTGCTCCGGCACCCTGTGACGGGGGACCTGCCGTGGCCCGCGCTGCTCCTGGGGCTCACGATCGTCTCGAGCTGGTACTGGTGCAGCGACCAGGTGCGGGGGACAGGGCTGGGCCTGCAGCGAGGTCCGGGCTAAGCCAAGATGGGCGAAGCCTGAGCCCCTCCCCGCCTTTCCCCCCATGGTCGAAGGCGCGGTCTGAGGGGCGGGAACCCCTCCAGAGTGGCGCTAAACCAGATGGAACCTGCTCCAAGCGTGCAGCTGAACTTGGGGCACTCCCTAGCCAGAGGCGGCGCACACATTAGAGCGGAACCTGGCGCGACGCGGGGCTGAGGAGAGGCCCGCACGTGGGCAGCTGAATGCTCCTCCTACAGGTCATCGTGCAGCGCTGCCTGGCCGGGAAGAGCCTGACCCACATCAAGGCGGGCTGCATTCTGTGCGGGTACCTGAAGCTGACGCCCATGTTCCTCATGGTCATGCCAGGCATGATCAGCCGCGTTCTGTACCCGGGTAACGTCCGCGTCCCCGCCCCACCCCGCCCGAAAGGCCTGGGCCCCGTCCAGCCCCTGTCCTGTGCCAGCGTCCGGGCACCCGTCTCCCAGTTCCATCACTCTCCTAAGACTCCGGAGTCTGGGAGTGGAGTCCTGCCTCCCTCCGGGGGTCGCACGTCTCCTCTGCTAGGATTCCCAGTCCCTACCTCCTGGGATTCCCAGACCAGGCCCCGTCCTAGCCGCGCGGTGGCCTCTCTCCGGCAGACGAGGTGGCGTGCGTGGTGCCCGAGGTGTGCAGGCGCGTGTGCGGCACGGAGGTGGGCTGCTCCAACATCGCCTACCCGCGGCTCGTCGTGAAGCTCATGCCCAGAGGTGAGGGCTGCCCCAGGCCACAGGCGCAAGCTCGCTGCGGAGCCCGCTGCTGGGAGGGGTAGTTCCTTGCGCAGCTGCAGCCGTCCTGGCCCCTGGTGACTCCAACAAGATAGCTGTCGTCGGCTTGCAGGTCTGCGAGGACTCATGCTTGCAGTCATGCTGGCCGCGCTCATGTCCTCACTGGCCTCCATCTTCAACAGCAGCAGCACGCTCTTCACCATGGACATCTACACGCGCCTGCGGCCCCGCGCCGGCAACCGCGAGCTGCTGCTGGTGGGACGGTGCGGCCTGGGCTCCCCTCCTCCCCTACACATGAGTCCGGGGCGGGGGCGTGCGCACGCGCAGGGTTCAGGGGAGCCCAGGGTCCGGGGTTCCATCCGACGGCCCCCGCTGCAGGCTCTGGGTGGTGTTCATCGTGGTAGTGTCGGTGGCCTGGCTTCCCGTGGTGCAGGCGGCGCAGGGCGGGCAGCTCTTTGATTACATCCAGGCGGTCTCCAGCTATCTGGCACCGCCAGTGTCTGCAGTCTTCGTGCTGGCGCTCTTCGTGCCGCGCGTTAATGAGCAGGTGAGCGACATGCGCGCGTTGCGGCAGTAGGGCTGGGCTTGCACATCCTGAGCAGGCTGACCCGTCTCCCTCCTAGGGCGCCTTCTGGGGACTCATCGGGGGCCTGCTGATGGGCCTGGCACGCCTGATTCCCGAGTTCTCCTTTGGCTCGGGAAGCTGTGTGCAGCCCTCTGCCTGCCCGGCTTTCCTCTGCGGCGTGCACTACCTCTACTTCGCCATCGTTCTGTTCCTCTGCTCCGGCCTCCTCACCCTCACGGTCTCGCTGTGCACGGCGCCCATACCCCGCAAGCACGTGAGTATCTGCCTCTGGATGGCCGGGTGTCCCAAACAAGCACTGTGGGCCACAGCAACCACTTGCACTCGCACCTGCCCTCGACTTTCTGGAGTGCCCAGTGGGGAGGACCTGAATTTCTAGACTAAGGGTTGGGAGACGGCTGGGGGTCCAGCTGCAGTTGCAATTGCAGAGTAAGCACATTTTTATTTAAATACATTTATTTGAACTGGCCTGGGGGAGGGGGCTTGAAGATGTTGATGGGTTGGTGATTAAAGCCTCCCAAAGCCAATCCTTGGCATGGCCTTTGGGACTCAAAACACAGGATCTGACTGGTGGGGCACAATGCCATCTTGAAAGCCCACAAAAAGGTTTAGTTTTGCTGCCGAAAGGCAGGTGGCTCTAGGCAGGGCTGATGACAGCAGGGTGGGGTGGGGGCAGGTCAAGAGATCTGGGCCTGGAAGGACAGCTGGGAGTAGCAGGAGGAAAGGGTGGGAGCACACAGACACAGAACACTGTGAGCAGGAATGCCAGGCCAGGGTCGCAAGCGATACCATCTGGGTATAGACAGGAGACCTGAGCTGATGAAGCTGGGGGAGCAGGGCCAACAACTTTAAACACAAGCTCAGGGTTTGTACCGAGGGCACAGGGCAGCCACGTAGGGTGGAGTTGGCAACAGCTGAACCTGGGCTGGGTGTGCAGACTGAACAGCAGTGGGTAGGGCAGGCAGTGATGAGCTGGTGTGCAGGTGTCGGGGGACAGAACTACCACCTCATCTGGGCTCCCACCTTCCCTAGCTCCATCGCCTGGTCTTCAGTCTCCGGCACAGCAAGGAGGAACGGGAGGACCTCGATGCTAATGAGCAGGAAAGCTCCTCACTCCCTGTACAGAATGGGTGCCCAGAGCGTGCCATGGAGATGGACGGTAGGGCACCACGCTGGGAGGTGGGGCTGGGGGAGCTGAGTTCCCACAAACTAATTGCAGGGCATTAATCTTCCCCAGAGTCCCAGGCTCCAGCACCTAGCCACTTCCAACAGTGCCTGCTCTGGTTTTGTGGAATGAGCAGGGGTGGGGAGGGCAGTCCTCCGCCCCCTACCCAGGAGGAGGCAGAGGCAGCGGCAGCAGCCAGGCAGCTAGAGGACATCAGCGAGGACCCAAGCTGGGCTCGTGTGGTCAACCTCAATGCCCTGCTCATGATGGCAGTGGCTGTGTTCTTCTGGGGTTTCTATGCCTAAAGCCAACTGTGTTGGACACCATAAGCCACAGCCTCACAGGAAGTGGGGGTGAGGAGCCTGCTCTGCTCCCCAGAAAAGGGACAGGGGCATGGGGTAAGAAGGTCCTGGCTTCCCTTCTCCTGGCCTTCCTCTGCCTGGGGCCCACTGCATCTGATTGGCAGTCACTTCCCATGTGGACCTGGCCCACCTGCCACTGCAGTTGCCCTAAGGAAAAATAAAGCTGCCTTTCCCTCCCTCCTGCTGTGGCCAAAGTGTCCTTGCTCCAGACTTCTGTCCTGGGCTTGGGCCTCCATTTGGGCCGCTCACAGGACCTTCTTTTCGGGAGACAGAAGCCATGTGGCCCTCCACTCATCCACCTCTAGCTGGTGCTTCTCGGTCTTCCAGCCAGCATCCTGCAGTCCTGGGGAGAGAGAATGGGGTGCTGCCAGGAATGCTGGGGACAAGGGTAAGGAGAGGTACAGGCTGGGTGCAGGCTTTGTGCACTACTGGGGTTCCCACTGCCTCAGTGGCTGAAACCACACCTGGTTGCAGCAAGAATTCATTGAGACAGCACACCAAAGAGCGCTGGGATGGAACAGGCGCCAGATAAAACGTCCTCATCAATGTGAGGGCCTCCCGGCTCCATCCTCCTATTTCCCACATGCCAACTGGGATTACACAGACTGTCCACACTGACACTGCTTCAGAGACCATCCTAAGCTGTCCTAGAGACAGGGAAACTGAGTCCCAAACTTAGGGACTCAATCAAGATCGCAGGGAGAACCCATCTTTTTTTTTTTGAGATGGGGTCTCTGTCACCCAGGCTGGAGTACAGTGGTGCAATATGGGCTCACTGCAACCTCTGCCTCCTAGGCTCAAGAGATCCTCCCATCTCAGCCTCCTGCCAGTCCCACAGGTGTGTACCACCACGCCTAGCTAATTGTTTTGTATTTTTTGTAGAGACAGGGTTTCACCATGTTGCCTGGGCTGGCTTCGAACTCCTGAGCTCAAGTGATCTGGCCAGCTCAGCCTCCCAAAGTGCTGAGATTACAGGTGTGACCCACTGTGCCAGCACAGTCTTTTTTTTTTTTTTTTTTGAGAGAGGGTCTCACCCTGTCACCCAGGCTGGTACAATCATGGCTCACTGCAGCCTCCACCTCCCCCAGTTCAGGTGATCCTCCCAGCTTAGCCTCCGGAGTAGCTGTAACCACAGGCACGGAACCACACCTGCTTAATTTTTGTATTTTTTGTAGAGACAAGGTTTCACCATGTTGCCCAGGCAGGGTCTCAAGCAGTCTGCCCACCTAGGCCTCCCAAGGGGCTAGAATTATACGTGTTAGCCTCTGCAATGGGCCCAAGAACCCAAGTCTTTTACCTTTCAGGTAGAAGGGTGGGGGAAGACAGGGCCCCCAGGGACAAGGCTTTAGGGGCCAAGCAGCCATGGGCTGAGGAATGTTACCTTTCAAGAACTTTGGGAACAGCATGTCCAACACTTGGTGCGTCTCCTTGACGATGACCCAGCTCTCTTTCTTAGGACCTGGGTATGGGGGTGCAGAACCAGAAGCTCTGTGTCCTCTAGTATGACAAAGCCTGTCCTCTCTCCTCCCTGCCCCGAGGCATCAGCAGTCTAGATCGTGAGGCACTTACCCGCCCACACACGGTTCCTCAGCTCCTCCAGTTCTGCTGGGAGGGGTCCATCTCCCTGTAGGGCCCCAAGTATCAGCCCATGTGTGGCGGCCCTTAGGACGGTCTTGGGGTCTGCCTTCTGGTTCAGAACTACCTGTACCTGGTCTGGAGAGACCAGAGACAGACTGGTGTCAGGGAAGGGCCACTTTCCAAATCCCTTCGATCCCATCATCCTGCTTCCCCGGTCTCTCCCCAGAGACCCCGGCCTGGCATGAAAGGCCAGCCCCTCACCTTTTCCTTTCCAATTCATTTCCTGTTGCTCCCCAGTGCTCAGGCCAAACTGACCAATTTCCAAATACAATTTCATAGCAGCTCACTGAGCTGGGTCTATTTTGCATTTCTTTAATGGCTGGTGAGAATAAATGCCTTTTCACCCTCAACCAGCAGACCAGCACACTCAAGGACATGTTTACCCAAAAGGCAACCCAGGATGGGAGAGAAGGGTGGTTTCCCAGAGACAGCAAAGATCACGTCTTACTAGAGTGCTGCAATGTATAAGGCACTTGACAGTCACATTATTTGACCCTCATAAAAACAACGCAGGGAATAAGGCAGGTACTGTTAGCTCCATTTTACAGAGGGGGTGAAGTGAATCTCACTGGGGCATTGCGGCTGTAATATGAATGGTCTAGAGCACCCCCCAGGACAACAGGCAGCCTCCAAATTGCACAGAGCTTGGGGCCCTGGTTGGAGGAGAGGCTGACCTAGGAGGGTGCATCTTAGGCTGGGAGAACAAGGTACACTCACTTCGTGACTGGTCCCAGCAGAGGAGGTAGGGTTCTTGGTGCCCCTCAACCAGCTGCTGCAGCTCAAAGACACTGCGGGGAGAGGAGAGTGCAGTGGGGGTGGAGGACAGCAAAGGCAGGCGTGCCCATCCAGCCACTGAATAGCCACCCATGGTGAACCAAAATGATCTATGCTTCACCCAGGCCCCCTCACTTCCTCTACCCCTCAGCCTTACCCACACCCCCAAATCCATCCTTTCTTCCTGTATGCAGGCATGTCCATCCTCCCCATTTGCCCATCCTTCCCTCACCCACCAAACACATCCCTTACATCTGCTTCATGTTTTATACCCTTTCCTCCCTCACACACCCACAATGACCCCACGCCTGTTCAGCAGCAATGAAGAACCCAGCGGAGAGGGAGGGCCTTGCCAGAGAGGCCAGTGTGTAACCGGAGTGAGGGGCGTGTTTGGGGAGCGTGGGTGGCGGTGGTGATGAGTAGGAGATGCCAGGCCACTCACCTGGAGACCAAGTGGTGTAGGGGGACCCCCAGGGATAGAGACGGAGTTGGCCAGAAACCTGTGGGAAGCTGGGGTCAGGACACCTAGGCAGTGGGAGAGGCTGAGACACAGGACCCGAGACCGGGGTGGGGTCACCTGTCCACAGCGGCTCCATGCGGTTGGCTGTGGTGGGGTCGAGCACCTCTCCCCTCTGAAGGTAGTGCTTTAGGACCAGCCGGAGCCGGCCTTCATTCAACGTCTCCATGACCAGGGCTCGGACTGCACGGTAGTTGGCGTAGATGTGGAGGGCAGTGAGGAAGAAGAAACATCCGATGCTGAAGCTGGGGCGAGAGAGTGAGGTAGCCGAGGCGGGCAGAGGCCCAGCTGGGGCTCTCCTGCCCACTCTGCTCCCAGCTTACCCAGGGAAACCTGACACCAGAGGGAGCATCAGGAGGCTGACCAGGAGCCCCGCCAGGTTCACCAGTGTCTCCTGGAAAACGGCAGAGGGGCTAGGAGTTGGAGGGTGCCCTCTAGGCCAGACTCAGTACACCTAAGTGCCTTTTATCCCATCCTCCCTGCTCCACAACCTCCCAGGGTTGCCTAGTGCAATGGGGATAAATTTTTAGTTTTTGGTGAGTGAACTGTCATTTGCCAGCTTGAGGTGACTCACACTTGTAGTACCAGCACTTTGAGAGGCTGAGGCAGGCAGATCACTTGAGTCCAGGAGTAACACCAGCCTGAACAACGTAGTGGGACCCTCTCTACAAAAAAGTTTTAAAATTTGATGCGGTGCAGTGGCACACGCCTGTAATACTAGCAATTTTGGAGGCTGAGGTGGGCAGATTGCCTGAGCTCAGGAGTTCAAGACCAGCCTAGGCTGAACATAGTGAGACCCTGTCTCTACTAAAATACAAAAAATTAGCCAGGTATGGTGGCACACGCCTGTAGTCCCAGCTACTCAGGAGGCTGAGGCAGGAGAATTGCTTGAACCCAGGAGGTAGAAGTTGCAGTGAGCCAAGATCATACCACTTCACTCCAGCCAGGACAACAGAACAAGACTCCATCTCCAAAGATGAAAAAAAAAAAAATTTAAAATTAGCCAGGTATAGTGGTGTGCACCTGTAGTCCCACCTACTGGAGAGGCTGAGGTGGGAAGATTGCTTGAGCTCGGGAGGTCGAGGCCAGCCTTGGTGACATAGTGAGACTCCAACTCTTCAAAATACAAAAAAACTAGCTGGGTGTGATGGCATGTGCCTGTATTCCCAGCTACTCAAGAGGGTGAGCCAGGAGGACTGTTTGAGCCCAAGAGGTCATGTAGTAAGCCATGATTGCAACACTGTACTCCAGGCTGGGAGACACAGTGAGACCCTGTCTAAATATATACGTGTGTCAGTTGCTTCTTTGCCCTGGTAGGTACAATGTCCTTGGAATACCCTTGAACATGTCTTCTTTGTTTTGCAAGTCACCAGAATAGTTCCACACTCAGGCACTCACTAACGTGAGTACTTTTTTTTTTTTTTTTTTTTTTTTTTAGGGTCTCGCTCTGTCACCCAGGCTGGAGTACAGTGGTGCAATCATAGCTCATGGCCACCTCAAACTCCTGAGCTCAAGTGATCCTGCCACCACACCTCCACTAATTATTACTACAATTTTTGGTAAAGATGGGTCCTGCTATATGGCCCAGGCTGATCTTGAAACTCCTGGGCTCAAGCGTTCCTCCCCTCAGCTTCCCAAAGTGCTGGGATGAAAGGCATGAGTCGGAAGAACTTTTATTTACTGATTTAAAAAAGCTGACTGCTCCTCTCCCTTGAAGCTCCCTTGGTATGCAATAAGGGGCAGATAAATTTGCAAAGTGGTCAAGGAATCACCCCGGAAGGAACAAGACCCACATCTCTTCCCTTGCATATCAATGTGATGAGAACACTCTGATGGCTGGATTGAGATCACCCTGGGGGAAGAGACCCCAGGCTACCTGCCCCCAACTCATCATGAGGAAGGAGTCTGGACTGGTGCCCCTGACTAACTGGGCTCCTAGGGAGAACTGGTCCTGGCACAGAGAGGACCTGAGGCTGGAGAGCTCTTCTCACCCAGCCCTCCTGGAAAGGGCGTGTGCTGTGGAAATAAAAGCTGTGGGTGTGGCAGGAAACTGGAGATCAGGGACCTTAGGAGCTCAGGAGCAGAGTGACCTCCTCTCTCCCAGGTGGGAAGAATCATTTCCAGTGGCTACATCTAGTGACAGCAAAGCTGAATCAGCAGAAAGCTGGGGGCTGCTACGGGACTGACATATTCCCAGGTTAGTCCTGGATGTCACCAGCTCTGTGGATTGAGGAAGCCCTGCGGCCTTGG